TTTTTTATTTCTTCATTTGACAAAATAGCGACACTGAAGCCATTTCATTAATCGTCGTTTTGTACCTATTGTTCAATCGGCGTTGCGCGGATCTGTTATTCGGTTGGACCTAGAGCAAAAAACCAAAATTTTTTAAAACTATATAATATGCACTACAGAAGTACATATGGATATTTCGAAATATTGATTTTTATAAAAATGGCGAACATTTGAAAAAAAAGTGTCATTTTCGGCTTAAAAATTTCGTCAGAAAATGTTAAAAAAAAATAAAAATGTTTAACATATCGCAAAATCCGTATGTACTTCTGTAGATTATACAAATTAGAAGATTCTGTGTAAATTTCAAGTTAATTGGATGAACAGTTTCTGAGATTCGCGCAACGCCAACTTTGAAAATGTGGTTTCGAGAAAAACGCGTTTAAAGTTTTACTTTGCGATATTTCGTGTGTTTAGTAGACAAAATCAAATTTATCTTTACTCTGCAATGCCTGCGCCATACAGTTGTCCTTCTACGTTGAAGTTTACCTCATCTTTTTCTTTTCTGCTCGTTTTGGATAATTTTCGAGCGTCTTTAGCGTGAGATGACATTGCGCGCTCAGCAGCCTTCACGCGTCGGGCGTCCGCTTCGATGCAGAAAGTATACAAATTATGGCCAATAGTCAGGTTTAAAACTTGCATAATCTCCATAATACTCGTAAATCCATCATTGAATTTGCAAACAGCAATATCTGTCGCTATATCAAGAATTGTTTTACCGCTTGAAAATGTTTTTGGTGCTATTGACCATACAACAGCATTGAAGCTTTCGTTATTATTTTGTATAAAGCCTTCTAAGCAACGGTATAAAAGGTCGTCATTGCTTAAATCTTCGTAAATAGGTATTATGGCATTGAAAACTTCTTTATTAAGAGGCTCTTTATGTGTGTACTCTTCTAAATTATCAATGGCTCGTCTTTTAGAAATTCTGTTTTTCGTTCGGGTGGTACTACTTTTGGCACCTTTCTTATCAGAGAACACAACTTTCTTGCTTTCCATGATAAAATAAGCGGGAAATACTGTCGATATATGGCAATCTAAACCGCGGTCTAAACGGCGTCGTATAAACAACTATTCTAATGCTACCTGCGTAACGTACGGTTCCAAAAAGGAAGAGGTTATTTTCGGAGACTTATCATCATCTATATGTATAAAACCGAAGCTGTTAGTCGTCGACCTAGTCTTTTGTAAAGTATAAAAAACGAGATCGAGCTCAGGTACTTCGAATCGTTCCGAATCGCTCGACGCGCTCGATGGCGCTACAGACGCGCTTCACTAAAATGGCTCAAAACTTGTTTAAAAAATGCGAATTTTTAAATGTAACTTTAGGAGCTTATTTTTATAACTATAAACTATCATTTAAGGCAAAAAAAAAAATTTCGATTTTTTGAAGCCTCCAAGGTGGTGTAACCCCTTAAGCGTACGCGCGCGCCATACTTAAATAGTGTTGTCAATTTAGCAACCAACGTAAGCTTGCACACATAGGTAAATTGCTCTGGTTTCGGCGCAGCTACAGGGGGGGATCGTTATCTCAAAGTACTCAAAGTGTGGCAAATTGAATTTGGTGCCTGATAATTAATGCCCAATGCGCGCGAGAGATTTAACGGTTGTAGTATCGGTTTACTAAAGTTATTGCCATAAATTTACATTAGCCGCGAATTAATTTGTACTGCTTCGAAACTGCACTTAAAATGCTGGGCGCAACATAGTCTAGCTCCGGCGAGCGCGATTCAAATTGGACGTTTTCATTTGATGAACTCGAATATCCCTAAATTACGTTGGCAAACACGTCAAAAAGGATTTGTAATAATTTAAATTAAACAAACATTAAATTCTCGCCCACTATTTAACGTTAACCTTGTAATTTTGATTTTATTTATTCTCAAATACCATAAATCTTAATAATATAAATGTGTGTGTGTGTGTGTGTGTGTGTGTGTTTTTTTTTTATTGATTTTGATAGTTTAACTGATTGAACTAATTGAAAAAAAAGTAACTTTGATCGAACATTTATTGCATCAGCCGATAAACTCGTGATTTTTTTATGTCAAACATTTTGACGTAGATTTTCCGTTTCAGCTATACGATTTACGGCGTAATGAATTGGGAACAAGGGATGCGATTGTAGATTTTAAACGAGATAACGCCGGAGTTTGAAAACTCAGAAATTCCTCGAAGCGCGAGGTTTCTACGAAATTAAACAGGTGGTTTCACGGGGTTGCTCTCATGCTGAACACCTCGGCGCAGAATAATCAACTAGAGTTGCATCTAAACTGCAATTTACAAATCTCGCGTACGCACGTTTATACGCACAGAATCTGCATTTCAATTTCGAACCCATCAGGTTTCGAGGGAATGAATCTATGAAAGAGATATATATATTTATTTGTACACGGAGAGATTGTTCTTTTAAAATTTACCCTGAAAATTTTGTTAATCGTGGGACAACATAATATTTTGACAAATTTTACTGTACACTACAATAAATTTGTTGTAGTATATATTTAAAAAAAATAGTGAAAATCATATAAAATTCATCGAAATACTATGTTGTTCTACGATTAACATTTTCAGGGGAAATTTTAAAATAAAATTCTTTCCGTTTAGAATTCACAGAGAGATCCATTACCTCGTGTACTGGAATAAATAAAAAAAATTTTGTTTGAAACTCACTGATACGATACGCAATGGCGGTTGTTGTGACACTACAGTGGCTGGCAAACATGATTGATCTGGAACATAAAAATATAAAATCCAAATTATATCGCAGCTCGTTCACGAATAAATTAAAAATAAAAAAAATAATTATTGTGCGCAATCGAATTTTTTTATTCGTCCTTTTAAGTAAATTTTTATTAAAATAAATATAGTTTTTGCAAGAAAAAAATTCTTTAAAAACTTTGTTAAAGCTCTTATAAAATCTTAAATATAAAAATTATTTTCTTTAATTTTTTTTAAAATAGTTATTGATAAATCAAATGTAGGAGAACATAGATAATTTATATCGCAAATAACTACCAAGTGTTTTTAAATTAAACTGCCAAACTTAAAATATGAATTTAAAATCTCAAAATAAACAAAATTTTCATCTAAAAGTTTGCTGACAACCGCTTTGTTTAGGAGATATTAATTTCAAGTTACAGAACTATAAGAATGAATGATGTCGAAACAATCTAATAGGTTTATTTTCTTTATTGCTTTACAATAATCAAATGTATTCAAACATATTCAAACATATTCAAAATGATGGGCCTCCAATTCTGACAATAAAACAAATATTCCACCTATTGCACATGCACATACATATAGACATTGTGTGTCTGTAATTTCTTCGCACGTTTGTATTATTCTCAATTTTAATGATTGGAGATAATTAATTAATGGGCATTTTTACTTCAGAGCACCCCGTACAAGAACAATCAAAAGGTATTAAATTTGATACATATTTCGACATTATTCATTCCTATTCCATTAAGTTCTTTAGAAGTAATATTTCTTAAACGAAGCGAACAAATTTTTAGAAGAAAATTTTATTTGTTTTGAAGTCCTAAATTCATATTTTAAGTCTGACGGTTTAACCCGGGAGTACTCTGTATAAATAAGATATAGAATAAACAAAACAAGAAATTACTTATTTCTTGCTTTGACGTTTCGTTCAGCCTCTTTCTCCTTCTAATTAGATTTTGTTTTTACATTTTTAGATAGTCATATTTTACGCAATACTCGCGGAAACGTGATTAATTGCGATTGGCCGCGCACTAATTACCAAATACGATAATCGCGCGGCACTTTGTGCGGCACTCTCGGTATTAAACGTATGCTATTCCACAAAAAACACTATTACTATTAATATTAATAAACGATCGATTTATCGTGGTTTTCCGTTATTGGAATTATTCGATTTGTGAAATGAAATAGTCGTTGTCCTGACGTATTTACGCTAATCGCAGATGTTAATTAATCACACGACTTGATAAATCATTCGAAGCTCACAGAGTGAGCAATAAATTGTTCTAAAGAACGATCGTTCCGAGTAGTAATGCGACGATACACGGAGCGACTCACGTCACTATTTGCTCGACGAGAACCGCGTGTACACAATAGTGCGCTGTACGCCACAAAAAAAAAACAAACGAGCAACGAACGTGGAGTTTCGTAGGCCAAATTCGCCCCTCGTTGCTACCCGAATGTAATACGACGTGGATTTACCGAATATATCCTGTTTCTCAAGTTAATTTTATTAATTGTGATGTACCATTTTATCATTTTATTACTTTATATGCAATTTATTTCGTCCGTTATTAGCGACAATATATTAATATTACAAATTATTTAATCTTTTTTAATAAAAATTTTAATGATTAAATTATTTTATTTAAAAAGAATTTATTATCAAAAGTATCACATTTATTTAGAGAATGATGCATTTATCTGTGTTTTTGAGAAAAAATTTTAATAGGCTAATATGAGTACTTTTCCAAAAACAAAGACAAATACAGAGAGTCTAAATAAATATTATATTTGATAATTAATTCTTTTCGAATGAAGTAATTTGATCATTTGAATTTTCATTAGAAAGAATTAGAAAATAATTTTTAACGGTTAAAATTTGATCTTAATAGTCAGTTTGTCAATAGCAGTTAAAGAATAAAATCATTGATAAAAGTGATGAAAGTAGAAGTTTAGTATCTACCTATGAATATTAAAGTACCTGTAAATGGGCCAATAATGACGCACGTAATGCAAGATAATGATATTACAAAATATTTGCGCCAATTCGATTGGTGAAAACCAATCAAAAAGCGATTAAACTGATTGAATTAGCTACGAGTATGCATCGGATATTACGACGTGCCATCCTCTATGGGAGGGGGGGGGGAGGAGGCGGGGGGCTATATTCATTGATTATGACATGCTCGACCGTCGCTATATCTTGCCGTAAAAATCAGCATTTATCCCGATAAATGGATATTAAAAATTTCACAGCCAATTTAAGACATTAACTCCGTGAGCGCGCGGATCGTGTGCCCCGACCTAAATATCATCGATAAATTTTCTCTTCAACACGTATTTCCTACCCGACCGCCATTTCCTCCCGTCTCTCATTACGCCACGCTGTCAAGTCCACCAGGCAGTAATAAATTGCGCCTCGATACGAAATGAGCTTAATACGTATTGACCTAGCTAGCTTCTCTTCTTTCCGAACGGAACCCCTGCTTTTATTCGTTTCCGCTTTCATCGCCGCGCTTGTCGAGATACCGGAGGCCGTGTCATCGCAACCGGTGTGCTCTCCCTCCCGTCCGTGCGCCGCGCGGTCCGGTGATCGCGTATAGTTTCGGCGAACGGGCGTTTCACCGAAGGGAGTAAACGTTTCGGGAAGTACCGTTAAATGGTTTGACCCAATGCAATTGCGCAGGTTGGCAAGTTAACCGACTCCACCAAACTTACTTGTCCACCAGTGCTCTGGTGCCTATCGCCTTAGGGGACATACGCTGGACAAACTTGTCGGGATTGAAAGTTAAGGATGGTTATAGCAAAGTATAGCCGTTACCCTCATCTTACACGGTGGTCGCACAGTAAGTGGAGGACTATCCGAGATGATCACTGAGCGGTTTTATAAGTCGGGCGATGAGAATCTACGGAAACTTTTCCGAAGATTATGCTGTGAACGAAGATTAACTTCGATGAACGATTTTATCAACTTCTTCAAACGTGACTTGAAAGATCTAACTGCTAGTTTTCTTTTTATAATGTTATCATCGATTTATAAAAATCTTTTCGTCGTAGGTTTTTCTTATGTCAAATTAAAACCTGTATTCAGTAAAATTTTGTACTACTGGATATTTTACTGTCAACGTATTGAGTGCTCTTTAGAAATTGTTGTAGTAAATATATCTATTAGTTATATAAATTTTAGATTTCACACATTTTTTAAAATTTATTCTATATTCCATCCTTATAATGTCACTGAAGAGTCTGATATTTTTGCTAGATCATTTATGAAATATTAGTATCTTTTGATTTTTGAATCACCTCACATTTGATCGAGAGAAAGATACAATTAGCGCTTTTTTTACGTTTCTAATATATTTTTGTTATTTTAGTTATATTTTATTTTTCATCATTGTATGGATACCGTAACAAGAACATGTATAGGCATCTGCCGAACGTTAATGTAGAAGGATCAGTTTTTGTTGTATATCGTTACGTCAATTTTTCGTCGAGGTACAACGTTTTGAAAATTCGATACGTGCGCGTTTATAAAAGAAAGCCGCACGTATTTTTTTACACGTAACGCGACAGGTGTACTAAAAAAACAGGTGTGAAAACGGCTGATACAAGTGCTTTGAACAC